TCCCTGGACCATTCACCACCAGCATCCCAGAGCATGCCAGGCGGGCTCAGGCTGCCTTTAATCCCTGCTGCTCCTAAAGTGACAGCTACCCCCACTTCTCATCTCTCACACCTAGCTCCTCTCTCCACTACCCTGACAACCACTAATCTGCTTTCTGTCTTTATGGATTTGCCTCTTCTGGACATTTCATATTAATGAACTCATTCACAATGTATCCTTTTGTGTCTGGTTTCTTTCAGCATGGTGTGTTTTTTGGGGGGAAGGAGATACTGGGGTGGCTGCACAACTCAGGGCCTCAGGAGAGGCCAGAACTCAGAAGGGGGTCCCCCCCACTTCCTCCCCAAAATCCCCACTCACTCTCCCCCTGCAGTCTCTCAGCCAAACTCTCAGCATGGTGTTTTGAATGATCATGTAGCGTGTGTCCGTGCTTCATTCCTTTTTATGGATGAGTAATAATCTTGTATTGCTTGGCCACATTTGTGTTTCCTTTCCCACTTGAGGCGCTCCTCAGTTGTTTCTGCCTTTCTCCTGTTGTGAGCACTGCTGCTGTAAACATGTGTGTAAGAGTGTGTATGTGGCATATGTTTCATTTCTCTTAGGTGAAATTTCACCTGGGAATGTCATTGCTGGGTTATGGTAACTCCACATTTCACATTTTAAGGAACTACCGAACTGTTTTCCACTTTGGCTATACCATTTTATGTTCCCATCTGAAGTACCTGGGAGTTCAAATTTCTTCACATCTGAACAACACTATTTATTATTTTTTTGAGTCTCACCATCCCAGATGGTATTTCATTGTGGTTTTAATTTGCATTTCCTTGGTGACTAATAGTATTGAGCATTTTTCTTGTGTAGCTTTCCTTAGAGAAATGTCTAAATCATTTACACATTTTAAAATTGGGTTATTCATCTTTTTATCATTGAGTGTGGTTCTTTTATAAATATATTTTTGCTGATTTAAGAGAGGAAGAGAGAGGGGAGAGAGAGAAACATCAATGATGAGAGAGAATCATTGATGGGCTGCCTCTTGCATGCCCCACACTGGGGATCGAGCCCTGATGACCAGAACCTCCTGGTTCATCGGTTTGAACCACTGAGCACGCTGGGCTATAGTTGAGATTTCATGGTTCTTTATATATTTTGGATACCATTCCTTTATCACAGTGGTTCTCAACCTTCTGGCCCTTTAAATACAGTTCCTCATGTTGTGACCCAACCATAAAATTATTTTCATTGCTACTTCATAACTGTAATGTTGCTACTGCTATGAATCGTAATGTAAATATCTGATATGCAGGATGGTCTTAGGCGACCCCTGTGAAAGGGTCTTTTGACCGCCAAAGGAGTCGCGACCCACAGGTTGAGAACCGCTGCTTTATCAGCTATATGATTTGCAAATACTTCCTCCCATTCTGTGGGTTGCCTTGTCAGCTCATTAATGGTCTCATTTGCAGCACAAAAGTTTTTTATTTCAGTGAAGTCCAATTCATCAGTTTTTTTCTTTTGTCTCTTGTGCTTCTGGTGTTTCATCTGAGAAACCATTGTCTCATCCAAGGTCACAGAGACTGACTCCTCTGTTTTCTGAGTTTTATCGTTTTAGTTTTTTACATCGAGGTCTTTGATCAATTTTGAGTTATTTTTTTGTGTGGATGGGAGTAGGAAGGAGCACACTATTCTTTTGCATGTGGCTATCCAGTTGTCCAATTTGCTGAAAAGACTATTCTTTCCCCATTGAGTTGTCTTGGCACCCTTGGACAAATTCAATTGACCATAAATGTGAGGGTTTATTTCTGGACTCTCAGCTCTTTGCCAGCGATATACATGTCTGTCCTTATGCCAGTGCCACGCTGTTCAGTACACACAGCTGTGTGATAAGTTTTGAAATTGTGAAGTGTGAGTCCTCATATTTTGTTCTTCTTTTTCAGAATTGTTTTGGTTATTCTGTTCCCTTGCATTTCCATATGAATTTCACGATGCTAGTCAATTTCTGTCAGATGGTGGGGGATGGGTTGGGATTCTAAGGAGGCCTGTGTTGAATCTATCTCATTTTGGAGAGTGCTGCCATCTGAACAAAATGTTAAATTAAGTTCTGATCCATAAACACAGGATGTGTTTCCATTTATTTCAGTCTTGGTTGCCTATGGTCCACACACCCTTCTGGGCATGCCACTCCTTGGCCTTTCCCATCATACTGGCAGCTCCAGAAGCACAGACATCACCTGCCCAGGGCCTGGGGTCTGGGCCTTGTAGCCCTTAGTGAGGAAGAGATGAGTTAGAGCTGCATCATCATAAAGGCATCCTGAGTCCTGGAATTTATCTTGCAGATGGACTCACACTTGGGTGCCAGGTATGGTGGCAAAGGATTTTCATAGACTGTCTAGGTCTGTTCCTGGGGTAGGGTCAGAAGGGGAGGCCTCTGGGCCTTTCTGCAGCTATTGAAAAGAATGAGGCAGCCCTGATGAAACGCCCTCCACTGGTGGCCAACTGTCGTGTGTGCTGGGAGGGGTCCTGTCTCTAGAGCAGGGGTCGCCACCAGTGGACCACTGGTGGTCCGAGAGGTCTGAAACGTTGGCGACCACTGCTCTACAGCACCTCGCTGACCTGAGCTGGTGTTTTTAACAAGTTTAACTAGGGGGGAAATATGGAGCCAGTTTCTCATGTATCTCCAGGTCCAGCAGAGGTTCCTGATGAGGCTTATGTCCCAACTGAGGTGAAAAAGAAAGACATCCCCCCGCCCCCTTTCCTCCCCATGAGGCCCAGGGAGCGGCATCGTCCTTTGCTTACTAGACCTTTACTAGGTGTTGACTGGAGATTGACCTAGCTGAGCTTGTCCGTTTGTCACAGCAGCCTGGAGGCCTGGCCAGAGAAGAGACCATGCTCGAAAGATGAGGGGGTGCAGGGCCAGCCAGGCCCCAAGTGTCTGGGACTCCCTGAAGACCCTAGCAGGCCCACAGCCTGTCAGTCAGGATTACAGTGGATGCCTGCTGGAGCTCAGTAAATATTCATGGCAGCCTGTTCACTTGGGTTTGGACAGGGGGTGGGTGTCTACCCTGCTGGGCCAGGAGCAGCACCCAGGAGGCCAAGGGGTGGTGGCAACCCCTGAAGGGCACAGCCTCCCTCTGACAGCCTCGCACAGGGGCCTACCTGCGTTCACGAGGAAGGCCCTGTGAGCAGCATGCAAGGAGGTGGCCCAGGCAGCTGGGAGCTACCATGGAGCTGAAACCCAGCCATGGGCATCAACCATCTTTGAGGGGCTGGCTGGCTGACTGGGAACCAAACAATCTCCAGGAAGATTGCTCTGCCAGGGCCATCCAACCATAAACATCTAGACCAGGCATAAAAGGGTACGGTCTTTTTTTTTTTTAGTTTTATTCATTTCAAACGGGCCGAATCCAGCCCGCGGGCTGCAGTTTGCCCACGGCTGAGTTAGGGCCTTACCTTTTTATTTTAGGAATCCACAGCTGATCTAGACCTTTGAGTCCTCCTGTGGTCCCTGCCCAATCTATACCTTCCTGAAACCCCACCACGGGGACAGAGGTGGTGCTGCTGCCACAGTCTTGCCTATGAGAGAGAAGCTGAGGCTTCTTTGGTGTCCCCTGCCTGCAGACATGATACAGAGTGGTCTGCAGCTGTGGAAGAGGGAGTGTCCAAGGAAGCGGGCCAGTGGACATTCCACAGAGAAAAAAAATAGTCTGAAGAAATGCGAGCCATCTCTGGGAGGGGGTCAGGGCACTCTCACCTTCTCCATTCTCTGTATTTCTGGGGTTATTTGTATAACGAGTGGATATGCCTCATGAGAAGAAATAACCAGGGTGGCCTGTTCAGCGTGCAGATGCTGAGCTGTGCTCCTCTCCCCACAGGCTACAGCATGTTCGCCCTGGGCATTGGGGCCATGATCTTTGGGCACTGGAGTATGATGAAGTGGAATCGTGAACGCAGGTAGGCCCCGTGCAGGTGAGGGTGGGCATGTGCCTGTGGACTTGGTATACACTGGGGCCACTCATCAACCCCCAGGTCTTGGGGACCCAGTAAATCCATTTTTGGATTTTACCTTTAATGATTGACTAGTAAGCAAAGAGCTTGCCTCCAGGTGTTCACCAGGCACACCCCTTCAGCCTCTGCCACTGGGGACTCGAGGGTGCCCAGGTTGTCCATGGTAACCAGGCAATAATGATATGGTGGCATGGAAAGCAGATCATGCAAGACAGTGGCCATGCCAGCCATGCAGGGCCTGAGGGGCCAAGACCTACCATGGCCTCAGTTCAGACTCCAGTCACCTCTGAGCTCGTCTGATTCCCTGCCAGGTGGCTCCTTGTCATTAGCCTCTGGCTGGCTGGGCTCTGTCATATGTCCTTAGCATCCCCCACTCGGCCAGGAATCTCTGAGGATGGTGCTAGAGAATGCTCAGCTCGTGGAGGGTGCTCCACATTATTGAGTAGACTCAGGAGCACCTGATGGGTGCTGGATGCTAGGGCCCCTATGTTGGACAAGCAAGACCAGGCCCAGCCTCCTAGGGGGACACAGTAGTGACCACAGTGTGGCTGTGATGGGGGCAGTAGCCTGGGGATTGGGGCCAGGAGAGGGGTTGAAGCTCATCTACCCCTTCCTTGTGCCTCTGTAAGATTTCTGGTGATGAGGGGATATGGCCAGAGGCTACTCCCTGAGACACAGTGTGGCTCACTCTCCCCACCCCCTAGCACAGGCAGTGCTGGGACTTGGAAGATGCTGAAAAGCAGGGAGAAGAATGCCCCCATGTTATTTTGAGATGAAGGGGAGATGGTTTTGTGAGGCCCAGAGCCCCATGATGAACACTTCCCTTCCTTCACTGCAGTTACAGACTTGGGCTATTTTTAGGATTTTTTAAAAAAAAGCTCTTTAATTGAAAAGAAAATGTGAAGCCAGCAATCTTGTGGACCAACGCCTGCGCTTGCTGGGTTCCCCATCTCGGGCTCCTGGTGGACGGAGCCTAGTGCTCAAGCTCTATCCTGCTTGCTCGCCTCTCCCCCAGCCACCATCCCCGTGCATCACCCTGAATGTCCAGGGGCCACATCATCTGCCTCCCTCCCTGCCCACCCTAATCTGATCCAAGTATTGGTTTTGGGTTTCACAGGCGCTTGCAGATCGAGGACTTTGAGGCCCGCATCGCACTGATGCCGCTGTTGCAGGCAGAGAAGGACCGAAGGTGAGACCACCAGGGTCCAGAGTTCATAGGCCTGAGTGCCCCAGCTTGTGGCTCGGGGCACAGCCAAAATGCACATGGGGACTGGCAGCTGCATCCTTGCACACAAACTGCTGTCATCCTTGGAGAGGGCCCTAGACAAAGTAGAGACCAAGGGGGAGAACGGGAAGGCTTTTCTGCAAGAAGCGGGTGTTGGGGCTGGGCAGGAGAATAGTAAGAGTTTGCCAGGGAGCCAAGCCGGCATGGTTCATTGGTTGAGCATCGACCAGGAGGTCACTGGTTTGATTTCCTATCAGGGCATATGCCCAGGTTGTGGACTTGACCCCCAGTGTGGGGTATGCAGGAGGTAGCCGATAGATGGTTTCTCTCATCATTGATGTTTCTCTCTCTCCTTCTCCCTTCCTCTCTGAAATTAATCCTATATAATAAAAGCTTAATATGCAAATCTACTGAATGGCAGAATGTCCGGTCGCTTTGATGTGCAATGACCACCAGGGGGCAGACACTCAATGCAGGAGCTGATCCCAGCCTGCAGGCCCCAGGCCAGCCAAGGCGGGTACCAGCGGCCCCCCACCCCCCCGACTGCCCTGCAGATTGGCCCTGAGTGCCGGCCAGGCCTTAGGGACCCTACCCATGCACAAATTTCATGCATAGGGCCTCTAGTAAAAATATATTTTTTAAAAAAATAAAAGTTTGCCAGGGAGAGGAAAGGAAAGAGGTCAGTTTGTGCAGGGTTGGAAGTGGCCGGAGATGATTGGAGGGGGAGCAAGGGGGGGGTCTGATAGGTGCATTAGGCAGGGGTCCCTTGGGGTACTCAGGCCTGTCCCCACCTCCCACTCCATCCTTACAGGATCCTGCAGATGCTTCGGGAGAACTTGGAGGAGGAGGCCATCATCATGAAGGATGTGCCCAACTGGAAGGTAGGTCCCCTGTAGGGAGGGCGAGGGTCTAGGCCACTGCAGAAGTGCAACCTTCCACAGAAAACCTCTTTGAAGCCGAGAGAGGCAGTGGGTGCTGGGATTGAGGTGAGGAAGGCAGCAGCTTCTGACACAGTGGCCAGTACCCCCACCTGTACCTCCTTTCTCCTCAGGTGGGCGAGTCTGTGTTCCACACAATGCGCTGGGTGCCCCCCGTAATGGGTGAGCTGTATGGACTGCGCACCAATGAGGAGATTGTCAACGCCACCTATGGCTTCGTCTGGTACACGTAGGGAATGCCGCTGGACCTCGCCCCTGCCCATGGAGTGAATAAATGTTCTGGAGACCTGCCTGCCTGTGTCCCAAGGACTGAGTGACTTGGGGAGGGCGGGCTCCACTGGGTCACACTCCATGTGGGGACTCAGGGACTAGGCCTGGAAATTCAGCAGAAAACGCCAAGTTGGGTGACCTTAAAAAACACACATAAGCTGCCCCTGGATCCGCTACCAGCCCTGGATTCCAAAATATGCCTGGACTGCCCTACCTCTGCTGAAATTCTGCTTGACTGCAGCCCACCCCTCCAGGGATGGGTAGGGGCCTGGAGAGGAGCAGGGGCAGGCGGCAGAGGCGTGTCCCCTACTCCCAGGCCGGGACCCCATAGCAGGTGTCACCGACCCATCACAACCCAACTCTGCCCCTCCAGACTTCAAGGGCATCTGGGCGTCCTTACATCCCGCCAGCAGCTGTGCTTCTGCCACAAAAGAGTTAAGTCCGCCTGCGACCAGCGACCAGTGCCCTAGCAAAGCGCCTTCACGGCGCCACTTGATTGGCGGGTGGCAGTGGGCGGGGCCTGCTCAGGGATAGGCTTTAACAACGGTGCCTGCCCGGCTGCCGCTGCCCGCACAGGCTCACCTTGGCCATGATAGGTGCGGCCAGCCGAGACCCGGCGGAGGCGCCCGAGGATGAGGATCGGCGTTTCCTCAGGTCAGCGGGGATAGGGATCCGGGACTCTGTGTGGGGAAGGGGCACGGCCGAGGGGGGTAATGGGGAAAGGGGCATGGCTGGGAATCCGAGGCCCACCCGCCTTTCACTGGAGACAGCCCACCGCTTCCCGCCTTTGACGCTGCATTGCCAGGGAAATGACAGTCGCAGCAAACCCGCTCCATGAATTATTCATCATCACTGCTACTCGCTCCTCCATAACCCTTTACCCCACCAGGGCCCACCTCCCCCTTCCTTCTCCCAGGTACCCTGGAGCCCCCATCTCAACTCTTACTCTCAGCTCCTCAAATGCTTACACCCTCCACGCCCCCATGGTGATCCACCTGCTATTACTACCTTTGTCTAGACAAGGAAACAGGTCTCAGGAAGGGGGCCACTGCCTGAGCCAATGCTAGGGCGATTTTTGAACACCTGGGCCACTTGGGGGTCTGGAGCCAGCAACTATGGCAGCCTCACACCTTGTTCTGAGTCATCCTGTGACAGGGGACACCAAGCAGGGCTGGAGAAAGCCAGATTCATTTCACAGAAGTCTGCCCACTGATCAGTTTCTCTTCTCAGGGCAGATATTGTCAGATGTCCAGATTCTGGCTGCTATCCAGATTCAGCCGAAACACCCAGCACATCCCAGGCAGGGGAGATGAATGTTCCAGATACAAGCAATGGCCTCATCTGGCATGGGGACAGTGGGGCACCTCAAATGCCAATTGAAGAGTGATGGGGCTCTGTGGGGTGGGTGGGAGTAGAACCTAGTGAACTAGGGGAGAGGAGGCAATGAGTTTAGAGACATAGTGGGGGGCATGTAGGTATGATGAGGAATTTATTCTCTGAATACTGGGAGCCTTAGGAAGGTTTGCAACAGCATGATATGATCTGGTATTCAAATTTTCAAAGCCCCCGTCTTAGGTGGTGTGGAGTTTGGGGGGCATGAGACTGCTGTTGGCAGCCTGGTGGGCAGTAGTGGCAGGCTGGTGAGAAGAGACATGAGGGTGGAGAGAAGCAAACGGAGCTGAGAGCACAGGGAGGATCTGGCATGGTCATCCTGGCCTCGTGGCTTCATCTCCAAAAGACACCCGTCCAGCCTGGCTGGCGTGGCTCCGTGATTGACCATTAACCTATGAACCCAGAGGTCACAGTTCCATTCCCAGTGTGGTGGGTATAGGAGGCAGCCGATCAATGATTCTCATCACTGATGTTTCTCTCTCTCCTTCCTTCCTCTCTGAAATCAATAAAATATATTAAAAGAAAGAAAGAAACCAATGTGGTTTTTTTGTGTTGTTTTTTTTAAAAAACAACACACAAAAAACAAAACAAGAAACAAAAGAGCCCCCTCCTGGAAGCATTTTGGAAGTTCCCTTTGAAACCAGGTCACCTCAGCCCTTCTGGGGCTGGCGGGAAATCCTGGGCCTCGAAGCCCTTCTCATCTGGCGGGTAGGCTGGGGGGACAAGAGGAACTCTTAACTGAGGTGCCTCCCCTACCCCTGGTCCCACATGGCTCTGCCCTGATTGCCACTCATGCCCTACCCACAGCCTCCACCTCAGGGTCCCAGCCTAGACCACCTCTTCCTATGGACTCCCCATTCTCACTCTAATGCAGCCGTGGGCAAACTACAGCCCGCGGGCCGGATCGCCCGTTTGAAATGAATAAAACTATTGGAAAAAAAAAAGTACCCTTTTATGTAATGATGTTTATTTTGAATTTATATTAGTTCACACAAACACTCCATCCATGCTTTTGTTCCAGCCCTCCCCTCCAGTTTAAGAACCCATTGTGGCCCTCGAGTCAAAAAGTTTGCCCCCCCACCCTGCTCTAATGACTGGTGAGCCAGGAAGATAATTTTCCAAATGGTGATGAGATCAAAGCTTTGGGACAGAGGAAGAAGAGGAATAGGTGACCCTCCACCCTTCTCATCCCGCTCTCCCACTCTCCTGTGAGGGCTGCAGGCAGAGCTGTCACAAGATGAAGGTGGAGAAATAAGCCACGTTCCCGAACACCCTTCCCAGGAGCTGGGCTGGCCTTCCATGCCAGGGATGGGTTTGTTCTTATTTAGCCCCATGAGCTCCTTTCCCACCTGGTACTTAAACCTCATCTGACACTGGCTGAAGACAAGTTAGGGGTTGAATCTGGCTCTGCTGCCATCTCAGGGCATGTGACCTCCCTGCCCTCAGCCTTCATCTCCCCCATCTATGTGGGTCCCCAAAGTATGTATTCTGTTTCTCTTACTGCTCCAGCCATAGTGGTCTCTCTTCTGTCCCTCGAACCTGCCAAACTCTTCCACCAAGAGGCCTTGGCCCTTGCTGTTCTTGCCACCTGGATTAACCACCATCGTGCACCAGGCCAGCTCCTCCAGGAAGCCTTCCCTGACTCCCCAGCCCACAGCAGTCCTCATTTCCCACCTCTGCCCCTCCTGCTGCTTGGCCTAATCACACTGCAAAATTGGCTGGAAGGTTGTGGTTTTCCTACTCACGGAATGAAGGAGGAGATCTAGGATTCATCTAGATCTCCTGCCCCATGTGTAGATCTGCTGCTGCTTTGTTCATACTCTGTTCGTGGCTCTGCAGACAGACACCAAAGGTGGAAGTCTGTTTCCCCACTCTTTTGGCATGACCCTGGGCCACCCTCTTGGCTTCTCTGAGTTGTTTTTCCAACTCTCTGGGCCTAGTTCTATTGCTGCTATTATTATTATTATTATTATTATTAATAATTATTATTATTATTTTAATTGCATGTGCTTTTTATTTTTCTTATTTTTTTAGATATGTTTTTATTGATTTCAGAGAGGAAGAGAGAGGGAGAGAGAGTTTGGAACATCAATGATGAGAGAGAATCATTGATGGACTGCCTCCTGCACGCCCCCTACTGGGGACTGAGCCTGCAACTGGGACATGTGCCCTTGATTGGAATCGAACACGGGACCCTTCAGTCCACAGGCTGAGGCTCACTGAGCCAAACCCGGTAGGGCCCTAGTTATATTATTGTTGTTATTACCCTCTCTAGGGTGTGCTGAACTCGGGGTAGAGGCTACTCCCCAGCAGGAAGGTCCTGCCAGCTGCCCAACCCGATTCTGGAGTGAGGAACACCTGGTCTTCAAAGCCAGCTCTCCCTCTCTGCCACCACCAAGTCCAGGCCCTTTGGAAGGCCCTTAAGCAAGGGCCAGCCACCTTGGTCCCTGCTGTTAGAAGTGCCCAACACTTGGTTTAACACTCTGCCATCACCATCTTGAAATTCTTAATTTTGAACAAGGGGCCCCACATTTGCATTTTGAATTGGCCCTCAAAATTAATCGAGCCCATCCCACCTTCACTTTTGCAGAGGAAGCAAGGCTTGGAAAGATGAAATAGACCCCAGTCACTCCAGCAAGCCAACTCCGTAGTAGGGTTTTGTCTCAAGCGAGTTGGCTCCATCTCCCTAGGCACAATTATTTGAGTTTTACAACTATCTTTGAAGAGGGTCACATCCCACCTCCCTAAGTGAGCTGTCATACGCCTCCGCAGCCTTCACAACCTCCCTCAGTACCCGTCCCCGGCTCCCAGTCCAGTCAGTACCCTCCAGTGTCCTGGAGCTCAGTCAGTGACTTCCTCTGCTTGAAATCCACCCATCGCCCCCATCACAGTCCTTCAGGCTCCATGCCTCCTCCTGGGTTCCTCCACCTTGGGGGCTGGGGGCTTCTGGGTGGGACTCAGTCTTCCGCGTGCGTAGGAAGAACAGAACCAACATGCGCCACCACGTGCTTCCTCGCCCACCAGAGGGCGCCGGCGCACCAGGCTTCGGTTCAAACCTCCAGCTGCCTGTCCGGTGCCATTCAATCGCTCGCGCGTCGGATGGGGAAACAGATTGGGGTTGGGGGAGGGAGGGCATCAGAGACTGGCTCGGGACATTGGTGGGACATTTCTGACTCCATCTGAGCCTCTGCCTCCATCTCTCTGTGTCTCTAAGCGTCTCTCCCAACTCTGTCCCCCAGCACGGAGGAGGCAGCTGCTCTGGAACGGGAGCTGCTGGAGGATTATCGTTTTGGGCGGCAGCAGCTGGTGGAGTTATGTGGCCATGCTAGTGCTGTGGCTGTGACCAAGGTACCTAACCCCTGCCCCTTGACCTTGACCTCAGCCAGATGGCCAGCCTACCAGAGCCAAGATCTAGCTGCATGACCCCCATGGCCCAGGGATTGGGAAGCCTAGCTGTGTCTGGCTCTGGAGCAAACACTTGAGGTATCTGCAACGAACTGGCAAATTATAGCAACGATATTACTACTATCCGGTGCTTTGCCCCAAGTTACCTCTGAACAAGAGTAATAAACTGACACCAGTTAATAAACAAACTCCTTAGAAAAATGCCCAATAGTCAGGGCTCCAGTATATAATCCTTCTCCTCTTCCTCCCCTTTTTCTCTTCTTATTACCACTGTATATTTTTTTAAAACGCAATACTTTTCTCTACGTGAACTCATTTTTTTTTTTTACTTAAATGTTTTTATTTCCAAATGAAACATATCCTGAGTGAGGTGCCCAAAAGAGAAAGAAATGGAGAAAATCTAAGCCACAGAAGCAAAGCCAGTGTAGTAAACCCGTCTCATTTTTGCCCTGAAAGCCCCAAGTACATCCAGAAGCCCCTTGGTCTCAGCCAGTCAGCCAGTGTCACCCTCCCTGACTCTGGTGCTATGGGTTGCAGGCCTGGTCAGTGTCCGTCAGGACCTCAGATCTTGGGGAGGAGACTAAAAAATGGAATAATTTCCCCTCTGTGTGGTTGAAGGTTAGAGTATGGCCAGGCCCGGTGGAGTCAGGGAGAGGCCCCATGAGACTGTCCAAGCTTTTATATAATAGAGGCAAACCGAGGCTGGGAGAGGAGAGGGGGCCGATGACAGAGTCAGGGTAGGCTGGGACTCTACCACCAGCATGCTTAACTGCTGTATTAAAAGGGCATGTGCCTGGGTTGCGGGCACATCCCCAGTGGGAGATGGGCAGGAGGCAGCTGATCGATGTCTCTCTCTCATCGATGTTTCTAGCTCTCTATCTCTCTCCCTTCCTCTCTGTAAAAAATCAATAAAATAAATTTAAAAAAACCCAGAAACACACACACACACACATACAGAGAGAGAGAGAGAGAGAGAGAGAGAGAGAGAGAGATGCACAGGCCCACAAAGACAGAGTCTGAGAGAGAGAGACAGACTGAGACAAGGAGAAAAACAGAAAGAGACTAGACAGAGAGACACGGAGAGAGTCTGAGAGATATTGAGAGACAGGGAGGTGAAGATAGGCCAGTGGAAGGGGCCAGGGGGAGAGAGACAGGGCATGGCAGGTTGGAAAAGTACCTCCCCACCAACTATGGGGCCTCTGGGAGGGCCTGGAAAATGGGTGGGGGAGAGGAAGCCACTGCAGTGGAAAAAGGTGGAAGAATGTCTGCAACTCAGGCCGAGAATAAACAAACCACAGTCCAGGCTCTCGGGCTCTCAATGGTGGCTGGAGACATGCTTTCCTGTTCTGGCTTGGCAGATGCTGAGGCAGATCCTCTGCGCCTCCAAGGAGGAAACTGAGACCCCAAGTGGCCCAGCCCCTCACCCATATTGCTCCCAAGCCCCGTCCCTTCCTCTCCCTGGGGCCTCAATTTCCCCACCTGATCAAGGAGGGATTCCAAGCTACGTGCCTTTGTCTTTGCTGTGCCCCCACCAGGTGTTCCCCTTGCCTGCTCTCTCCCGGAAGCAGAAGACGGTGCTGGTCGTGTGCGGACCGGAGCAGAATGGGGCGGTAGGGCTGGTCTGTGCCCGGCACCTGCGGGTATTTGTGAGTAGCAAGGACCCCCTTGGTGTCCCAGGGTCACCCCCCATTCTGTCCCTGCAGAAGTCACTTCCTCCTCTTGGTAGTGTTCCAGGGGAACATTGAGACTGGACAAGTTACAGAATAAGCCCAGTGCTTGCCCCAGGTACTGCTGCCTGGTACCAGGTCTGAAGGCTTGGCAGAGCCCCTAAAAGCTTGGGTAGCCCCCACACTGACCCTTTCCTGCCCCCTCCCTCCCCCCCAGGAGTATGAACCGACCATCTTCTACCCCACACGTTCACTGGACCCGCTGCACCAGGACCTGACCACCCAGTGTGAGAAGATGGACATCCCCTTCCTGTCCTATCTGCCCACAGAGGTCAGCACTCCTTGACAATAAGGGGCAAGTGGGGGATGGTGCTCCAAGGCTGCCCCTCATCTCGCCTTCCCTCCCAGGTCCAGCTCATCAATGATGCCTACGGGCTGGTGGTGGATGCTGTGCTGGGCCCTGGCGTGGAGCCCCGTGAGGTCGGGGGCCCCTGCACGCGTGCGCTGGCCACACTCAAGCTGCTGTCCATCCCTCTCGTGAGCCTGGACATTCCCTCAGGCATGCCAGGTGGAGGGGGGTGCGTCAGCGCCTGGGAGACCTGGGGGGCCCCTGTTCTCCAGCTTTTGTTACCCAGTTTGTCTGCCTACTCTGAGCCTCAGTTTCCTTGGGGATGGGTTGTGCACCCTGGGTATGGCAGAGGGCCATGTCCATCCCTCAGATGGGGACACTGAGGTTGTTGCCCAGGTGATCCTGCATCCCCTCCCCACCACGCTCAGCCCAATGTGCCCAATGCCCACCCTGGCCCAGTCACCAGGCAGACGTGAGCTCACTCAGCAAAGGCCTCGCCCGTCCTGGCCGCCGCCCTATGCCTGTTGGAGCCATTAGGCCATGGGCAGACGGAACAAACAGCCGCTGGCCAGCCGGACCCTTCACAGGGGGTGGCCGAACTCAGAGGGACATCCCCTGGCTTGCAAGACCTCAGGGCCATCTCAGCAGGGTGCTGAAGAGCAGGGGTGGGGTGGGGTGGCTATGAGGAGGTGGGCTGTCTGGTATGAGGGTGGAGGCTAGGATCATAGAAGGAAAGATTAAAGTCAGAGGGGAGAGGCTTTTAGTTAGTGGTTCCAGACTCCAGTCAGAGGCAGGAGAGGAGGCAAAGCTCCGAGTCTGAAGGTGGAGGTTCATTTCAGAGGTGGCAGAGGCTATGAACCAATGAGTGAGGTGGTGTGGTCTTGCCAAGTAAAAAGGCAAGATACAGCATGAGGGTGAGGCAGAGGTGTCAGATCAGAGGGAGGAGTACTGGGCAGAGGGTGGAGGATCAGTGCTCAAGTTGGGTGGGGAAGGAGGCACTTCCTGTCAGAGGCAAGAACCTGGGGCAAGGAGGTCACATAGGAGAGGCTTGCTTGCGGATGGAGGAAAAAAGTCTGTCCTTTGAGTGGTGATCTGGTCAGAGAGTGGAGGCTGCCTGGGAAGTCTGGGCGGACAGAGGTTCTAGTCTAAGCGGGGAAGCTCAGGATTGACAGGAAGGGAGGTGTGGGGATAGTCGCCAGAAGAGGCACGGGTCTGACCAGGAAAGGGCAGCAGCTGGAAATGATGCAGTCTGCAGGCAGAGGCTGAATCAGATGGAGGAGGACGATTGGGTAGCAGGGTGGGAGGAGGGGCAGAAAAGTATGAGGGCTCTGGCCAGAGTGGGAGGGAAAACATCCCCAAGGAGGGAAGGAGACTGGTCTGAGGGTGGAGGCTCCGTTCTTTGGGGAGGCAGGTCTGATCAAGACACAGTCAGAAAGCAGAAGCTGGGACTCTCCTCTGAGGGTGAGCACCCTCCCCAGCTCCTGACCTCCCCTCCCCCACTCCTCCCTCAGGCTGGGATGCGGAGACCGGCGAAGACTCCGAGGACGGCCTGCGGCCTGACGTGCTGGTGTCACTGGGTGCGCCCAAGCGCTGCGCTGGC